GATATCGGACACAGGCGACACTACTGTTACATAGGCAGAGAGAGAGAGAGAGAGAGAGAGAGAGAGAGAGAGAGAGAGCATGAATTTGCGCCGAATGAATTACACGTGCAGCCGTGCAACGTCTACGGTCGTATGCCCCTTCCCACCCGAAAAAGCAGTCTGGGTCACAAGAGGGAGGAAAAAGCTACTGCATCCTGTCTCACGCGATCGCAGGCTCCGTCTGGTCTCGTCGGGGCGTGGCCTCGACCGATCGATGGTCGGCCGCGAAAACGCCAACCAGCGACATCGACACCAACACCAACATCGCAGCCGCCCTCGCCGTCCCCGTCTCGACCACCATCATCCCCCATGAATAAAGGCACGCATTCCGTCTTTATATTGGCACACGCATACCTGAGGTCCCGTAGCCAAATTATCCATTACGCGTCCATTGGGCCAATCCATTGTCCTTCTTGACTACCGACACCGGCGATCTCCGCCGTTTATCATACGAATCACGTGACTATTGCGGGGTTAACTTGGATAAGTAACTTGACTTTATACCGAGGCATCTCCTTAATGCCGTTTACCTCTTCTTTTTCCTTCTCTAAGTTGATTGTGTACTATTCCACGTTTCGTTACTTGAAAGAAGTTGTTGAGCGTGCAACTACTCAATTTCCTTTTTTCCTGATGGAAAGTCAAGCGAGGGTGGGTCGGTCATTATACAAGCTGCAAGCGAATTAGTATTTAAGTATTTACAAATTCGGATGTAGTATCGAGTTGTTTACGTTGGCTTAAAAGGTGAAAAAGCTTATTTGAAAAATTTTATATTACTATAAAGTACTTGCTATGTATTTAATTTTTTTATAAAAATTTATTAAGCTGAAGTTTGTCTGATAGCTTATAAAGATGGTAAAATAACGTCATTATTAAAAGTATTATTAATTGTCCAAACTACAGAATTTCTAAATATCCAAAACACAGAAATCAACAATTGTTGCATTATTATTTTATCGTGAAAATATCGTATATTATAAACTAAATATAAAAAAAAAGTATTAGCTTCTTCGTATATTTCATTATACTACTTACGTTCGTGTAATGAACAATTTTTTTTTAAATTCATCAAAATAGATATAGAGTTTAAAAGTAAGTATTTATGAGTGATTATTTGAACTATCGGTAAACTTGTCGACTTTTTATATTAAATGGGCGCAGTTATGTGATAAACTGCATTTTTAAAATACATGAAGTTGAAATGGTACACTTCTTTATAGAAATATTGCACTTTTTCCGTTGTGTTTTTACCTGTATAATTGTACTTTTATATAGAAATAATAATTTATATTATAAAAATTATATATGGAGGTGCTTATATCGAGGCTATGGTAATAAATAATTTAAGTATTAATTGAACACTTCAGACCTAATTCAGAAACCTCTTGTGTCTTTATTTTCCAATAAGCACCGCACGCGTAACAAATAAACCCAAGCAAATACATCACTTCCTTCACTAACTCGTATGAGCGATCAATAAAAACTCTTCATAAATACAATCGATTTGTCCTCAATCGTCCATCGCCAGTTATCTAACTCATCTATAAATTTTTCAACTCTGAACTGTACATATGAAATCGCCTATCCTTCAATAGAAAAGGGCTATAAACTCTCGAGGATTTCTACTATTCGACAGTTCGTGTTGAATCGGGCAGTGTAACAATTTTACGAGCACTTTTCTTCACATCGCGTGAAAGTTTTGAGACGGTCGTTGAACTCTATCTCGTTCCTTCGCTCGCGACTTTTCCCCATAATTTCAAGCCTTTCGCCAAGTAATTAAATTTCCTCGCTAGTTTCTAGGACCTATCGAATTATAATGCGCGCGCATTATGATTGAAACGATATCCGGCAACGGCGAACGACGATACATTTGTCTCATTATACGTTGTTGGCGTCCAAATTTGATTCCCACTCCGAACCGAAACACAACGATCGAGTTCACTAAATGCATTATAGTAGTGAGGAGGGATAAAGGTTAAATAGAGAAAGAGAGAACAGATTCATCGACGATGGGATAATCGATTGCTGCCAGCTTCTATTCAAGTGTAACTTTATTTTGTTGAATATTCGACTATTGCACGATGGGAACGTGTTTTTCATTATCTCAAAAGATACCTCGACGTCTGTAATTATTAAAATTATTATTTCTTGAAATATTTTATTAAGAAACTTTTATGAAATATTTTATTCATTCCATCGATGACTTGTGTATTTTTAAATAAATGATTGGGATTGTATGTTACATTCAAACATCAACTAATTTTTTAAAATTATTGATTATTATGTTGTGATGAAAATAGTCCATTTGCGCATATAATTCAAGTTTCATTCAATTTTTGTATTCGTAACGAATATGTAATACCTAAGCATATTTAATATATGTATAAACGTAAAATTCTCAAAATAATTTAAGTTCATTCTCCTACTAAAAATCTATCTATTCATTGAGCATTTTATATTTCAACGAATAATACATATATTTATATATTTATTTAAAGAGTAAAATTGTTAAATATATAAATATTTTTCTTCGAAATATCGTTAGTCAGTCGTTCATTAAGATTGATGAACGATAAGCATATCGTATAACTTATGTTGCAATCGCAACTCAGTGCACAAAATTAATAAAAATATCATTGATAATGTCTGAAGTAATTAAAAAATATTTAAACTTTATCTAGATCCTATTAATAATCATAATATCAATATTATCGAATGTAATTTAAATGGCATCTAGATTTATACGCATTCGAATTTAAAGTGCTTGCTTGATTCATCTGGTTTCAATGACATTGATTAAGAATCCGCTCTGTGTAAAAATAGTTTTTCATCGATATTTATCGAAATTTACTAGTCTTTTTGTAATTTTCATTTAATGATATTTCTAATCGCTCATATATGAACTTTTTGTCATAAAATAGTCGGATGTAAACAATTTATATCCACTTTACTTGTCGCGTGTTAGTTGAATATCGATCGTAAGATTTATACCTGTGCAACCAAGACTTTAACGCGATCATCGCTTACACGTTTCTCTATTCTTATCATTAATAACATTTGGCAGTCAATGCTGACATTATAATGTCCACGTGGAACTAATAGTGTTATTGTTTAACAGTCAACGAGTCTCGTTAAAAAAATTTTAAAACGCTATAACAATGTTAATGAATTATTCGTGCGAATGATAGTTCCATTTATTAATTGAAAATATTTTTAATAATAACTATAATTATTTGATGGTATTTGCTAATTAGATGACACAACTTCAGTGATGTATGTACTTTAAAAGTTTTCCATTTATTTTTGAAAATTAATTATTATGACATTATGAAAATAATATTTCCTTTACGTTAATTTGAATGACTTTTAAGGCTTTCAAGCAACTTTATACTTGCGCTATGAATTTATTATATCAAATTACTTGTATTTTTTATTTTTTTATTTTTTACAATAAAAATGAAATATCAAAGTACTTGCTTATTAATTCTGTATGTAAACTTGGAAATTGAAATTATATTTATTTCAAATAGATTTTAATGGACATTGTACGTTTAATGTAGAATAAAGAAAAATTTTAATGGCCTATCATTTCCATTTATGTTTACAATATCTGTTATCATCGAACTATTTTTTCATATTGTGTAGGGAGTTTCTCAAATTGTCTTTACAAAAAATTACTTGAATATACATTTTAATCGGTTATTATTGTTATTCAGAAATAATAAGATACAATTATTAATTCACTTTTAACTTTCTAAATATCTCATGAAATTCCGATATTTTTAAAAAGCAAATACTCAAACGACTACTTATTCCCATTACAAAATCGAAATATAATTTATAAAATCGTAATTTTCGCTTGGTAAACGTTGAAAATTTTAAGCAAAAAAAATCATAACAAAGAGTAAGAAATGCCCAAAATATATATTATTACCATTATTATCATTATTACCATTATTATCATTAAAAGTAGTTATGTATATGTATATATCTTATGAAAATTCGATAATAATGGTTAAGCCATCAGTTGGTAAAAGAAACAAGCGGAAGTATATGAAGTGAGTGGCAACAAAGTGTAAAAGCGGTTTCTAGTGGTGGGGAAGGGAATCCTTTTAGAAGGAGATCTCATCTTTCAATGTAACTAATTTTGCAATATTTATCTTCTTGTAACAGCGCGATGCCGTCTGACAGTATGGATGACATCGAGCTGAAGAATATCCAGCTGCAGTTCCCAGCATTGAGGTACTTGACGAGGGACGACGGCTCGGTGCGCGAGGAACGCGTTGATACTGATAAAGGCTCGTTACTTGTCGCCGTCCAAGGCAATCGAGCCAAGCCTGCTATTATCACCTATCACGATCTGGGCCTTAACTGTGAGTAATTTTAAATTAAGTGACATTCGGTTGAGCTGGCACTGTATTCGATACATTTGAAAGGCCAAATTAATATTGTAATTGAGTTGTCAAATGCACCTTAGGATAGATTATTACGAGCTACGTAGAATTTTTTCTCTTACGTACTGTTTTTTCTCTTACGTACTGTATTTGAACGCGCGGATCGAAGTTTTTATATGTGTCGGGTGACTTGTAGTGTAAATCTCCAAGAAAACGAAGAATTTCAGCTAAATGCTTGATGTTACAAAATATACTAGAAATAAGGACAAATTTTAATTCATAACGAAGCTAATGAACGAAGCCATACTGAACTGAAATTTATATATTAATATTTTCATTTATATTTTTTAATTTATATTTATAATATTGTTCTATATATTTCAATACTTTGTAAAGAATAACAAATTGCATTCACTTTTGGAAAATTACACTTGTAAAGATCTATTACCTCGTGAATATAATGCTCATAACAAATAGAATCAGACATCTAGAAAATACTTATATATTTTATTTTTAAAGAATGTAGTATTGTATAAACCAGTGTTTCAACGCTAAGAAATAATAGATATAAAAGAAGTAAATTGCAAAATTTGTAAGTGAAAATGAATTCCTTTTAGGTATATTTGTTATACTTTATTTCATAAGTAATTATTAATTAACCGAAAATTTATCATTAAATTCTCATACTATTTATCGTATAATAGTAATTCTTTTTATTCTACATTGATTTTGTGTAAATACATTATAAAATATGTGAATTATAATTTGTAAATAATCTATTTATATGCCATTTATGTTTTCCGATCACTGGTAAAACTTTCTGCTGTACAGCAATTTAATCCATCTACATAGATACATCAATTCAAAACTTTTCGTTTTAATGGCCCGTTGACTTAAATGAACTCACTCGACAGGTAAAAGTAATAATAATGTTAGTAAATAACGTTTAATAATCTTATATTGAAAATTTAAATGACTAATACATAAGTCTGGTAAATTAAATGCGTACGCTGAAAATATGCAATTATTAAAAGTAAATTCTACGTTAAAATTCTAATTTCTAACATTATTAATATAAGATTCTTTTAGATGTCGGAAAATCTATTTTTTTTCTTAAGAATTTTGTAAGATTTTTCGATTAATTTTTTCTTTTTCTGTGCGCTGAAATTACGAAAAAAAAATTTACTCAAAATTATGAGAAAGGACGACTCTCCCATTATATTGAGAATTCATATTTAATTAGTTTGAAAGCAGATATTCGTTGTGAGCGATGACACAAATATATAATTTTTATCTTTTATTAATTTTATTCCAACATAGATGCCAAAATATTTTATTTCCCATTTATTATTAAATATACTAATATACAGCTAACACAAAAATTTTTACGTATAAATTTTTCACAATGGTTTATGAAATTTTATGATGTCGGTGGAGGAACCTATAAGTTGCGATAAATTGAGCGTAAAATTAGAATGAATTTACATTTTCGTACACCGAAGAATATTAGCTTGTCTGTTCGAATAAAATATTTATTATCTCAATTCTATGATAATAAAATCGATATATGATGCTATTATAGTCAGGTATAATAATTAAATTGTGATGGGAATTTGGATTGAATCCAAGTCCCTTGACTTTTCGTTTTAGGATAAACAAATTGTGTGTACCATTATCGATTTCATAAATATTTCCTAAAAATATTTTATTTCCTTGTTTCTAAAAAATTTTAATCGAATTTATAACCACATTTATATGTACGTATATTACGTATAAATTACTATTGAAATAGATATTACATAAATGAAGGTATCATTGAAATATATTCCAATTTTTAAAAAATTTTAGAATATTGTAAGTATGGTAATGGTAACACTTTTCTCCCACATATTGGAAATATCTTTAGTGGAAAATATTTTATTTTCTTGCATCAATATCTTTCTCATAAAAATAACGCGTTAAATATTTTTATACACAGCTGGGTAACATATTATTTTACAAATTTTCTTAGTTATAAATCCACGATCGAATAGAATCAAGGAAAATAAACTGCAAAACATTCTTTAACTTTTGCTTAAATATCTTTGAATAAATTTGATAAATATGATTGTAACAGAAATAATGACCGATATTTTATCGAGCCGTAGCCCTACTCTATGAATACAAATCCGATCATATTAATGTACAGACTTTTTTTTGTAGATATCTCGAGCTTCCAAGGATTCTTCAATTACATCGATATGCGAGTTCTCCTAGAAAACTTCTGCGTTTATCACGTTAATGCCCCAGGTCAAGAGGAAGGCGCTGCGACATTAGCTGAGGAGTAAGTTATCCATCTCAAATTTTTTAGACTAAGATTGACATTCAACAGTAGGTTTAAAACATCTTTTGTAATATATATTTTCCTATCGGCACGTTTGTTTCTAATGGATATTTATATTTGCAGTTGACGGTCATGCTATATTTATCTTTTTTTTAAATACATTTCGTAAACTTCTTCGATCGCTTCTCCAAATTTGGAAGAAAAATGTCATAACTTTCGAAGCTTATTTTTCATATACTTTAAAAAATTTCACAAAAAACATTTGCATAGAACGATAAGTTATAATTAGACAATACTATTTCATATATTAATCTATTCCTGTCAAGACGTATAATTGAAAGATAATAAATCTTAAAGACAATATCGTAATATTTTCATTACCGCGTATATTAAGCATTTAATGTCATGAGAAAACAGGCAAGAAAATAAATTATGGAAATGTTTGCATAAGAAAAATTATAGGCTAGCTGGAAGAATGTTAGACTTTACAATGCTATTTAAGCCAGCAACGATACTTTTAATAAAAATATAAAAAAAATTTTACGTGATTAAAATTGCAAGGGATAATCGATTTCAATTATACACATATTTATGATATTAGTAACAGCTATTCGTCGACTCTATCAATTTGATGGGGAAATATTAGAAATAAGATGTAAATATTCAATTTGAGAGCATAATTATAATCGCCTTATATTAGAGGTCCTATGCTGGATTTCCTAGAGTCTTTAATTCTGATATAATCAAAGCTACCCATATCGTAGTAACGAGTAATCATTTTCATTGGGAGTAGTACAAGCGCAACTCGTACGTGTATGTGCACACTCGTTACGAATCGCTTATGTGTACTGTGTATTCAACTACGAGCTATAGAGATTTACGATTGACGTGACGTCATGTGACGCATTACAATAATTTTGCAAAGTGGCTCACATGCTGAAAATGAGGTGGCCATTAATAGCATTTCAACCTAATGTGATGAAACTATAATGGTTTGTCATGATTGAGTATCCAAAATTTTAATTATATGGTGAGAAAGTATTTCTCTGGTGAAAAAAAAAATGAGGATTAAATTTAATCAAAATACAAGTAGTTAAAAAATACTTATTATTAATTTCAATTTAAATCAAATGCTCCTGTCTATAATTGACCCAAATTTTTTTAATATTAATATAAATCTTAAGTGTCACTATTACTCAATTATCTACATTAGTCATTTTAATCCATTTCCTTTCGTCGAAACGCTTAAAATTAGAAAATCGTAAAGAGACTTTTCAATTTTATCCAAGTACTATACAAGTGATTAAATTCCTTTCTACTGTACGTTATTAAACGTTCGTTTATAAATAATTTTAAACACTTATCTTAAGCAATTGTATATGTAAATCTATGATCATACTTTAACTTATTACTTAATATCTAATTGGATCACAGAATATGTGATAACATTTTATTATTATTAATAAGTCTAAAAGGTCATTGCAATAGAAATTCTTTCTTTGGGGCATAAGTAATTCAAATAATACCTTCGACTGCATTGCAGATTTGCATGCTAAACTCTGCTGTTAGAGCTCTGCTCTTAGAATCGCGTGCCAAATTCATCATTTTTTACTGATAAATCAACAAAAAATTTCATCGTTTTATAACCAAATTAATTGATTATTTTCATTTCTTTTTAAGTAATTATTCAAAAAGCCACCTAATGATACTTCCGACAGTCGGCATAATATTCCACTAGTCTATGGTAAATTATTAGGAAAGAAATGTGTCAAGGTCAAATTATATTGAATAGTGATTAATACATTTTCTTACAATTAAATAATTCTGTATAAATTGTATTGTATGTATAATTAAATTTTAGTTTCCTATGCATGATAATACTGGGATTTTCTAATTCAAATATTCTACTTGCTTGTCTAAATTAGTTAATGAAATAGAAAAATACAATAACGAACGCGATCGAAAATTCAAAATTCAATAATTGCAAATCTATCTATACATCGTTCACTTAATAATTAGAAATTTTACTAAGCTAAAAATTGAACAAATAAATTACTTGAAAATTCAATTAACGCGAATATGAGCAAGTACATTGCAAACATTTACATTGGGCAAATTGGCGGCTAGCGAACATATTTTACTAGCGCGCATTTCCCCTTCAATTATCTTCGTGTATTCTTTACAATCTGACGAAAATTTTCCCACTAACTAGTGCAGTTTTCTTTATTAACTTATCAAATATGAACGGATTTGGATCGAACGAGTACACTTTTACTTATTTTATTACAAAGACTAGAGCTTATTTTTCAGAAAAGTTATATGCTGCAAAAATCTACTAAAATGACAATTAAAAAATAAATTATCGCAGACTTATTGGAAAATAATTTCAGCTGCGCCTCTTTATAAATCTAATAACTTTTAAATAAAAAAATTTTTTTACCCTTTATGAAAATGGGTTATTTGAAGTATTTAAACTCTGATATTTTCCATTAAATTTCTTATTTAATGTTCTATTTCTTTTTACAACCAATAAACAATCCCTTCAAGCCTATTACATAATTATAATGTAACTCCAGTTATTTCAGATTTCACTTGTCCAGATCCACTTATTTATTTATCGCAAAACGATCATCTCGTACCTGGAATATAACAATTAATTAATAAAAATTAATCACATCCTGAATTTTACAAATTTTCCACTTAATCAATATGAAAACAATTCTCAAAATAAAAACAATGCTCGTCAGTATTGTAAAAAGGATTATAATGTACTTTCCGTTTAAACATTTTTCCACTTCGTTTTTCATGCAATTTACATCGAATGAAACATACTAATTCGAGAGGCATTAGTGATCATAAAAACTCATCTATTATAACGATCGTATAAAGTATTTTATTTTATCGCCATTCTATTCAGGCAAAGACTAAAACGGCCTTAAGCATATTTTTTCTTATGATTTTTATCTTAAAAACACTTACAACACCATAGAATATAATAAAAAATGACTGTCACACATGGCATTACGTGATTTTAAAAATACTCACCGTATGAATATTTCTTCATACATGCTGAACTTAGTGCTTATCGTAGGAGTCCTGATAATTCCAAAAGCTTTTAGCCTTCATTACCAATTTTGACGTATTTGCATTAATGTTTTTGCTATTTTGCTAAGAATAGCTGTATTGAAGTAAATTGTAATTTTTATAAATTTCAGTCAAATGAAGTTGATGATAAACATAGATTAATATACCATTTCTGACAATGATGATTAAATTATAAATTTTATAATATTTCAATTAGAAGAATAGTATTTTTTTTATTATCTAAAGTATGCTCATTTATACTATCATAAATTAGCATTTATTGTCAGGATCCATGACAACGTTATATATTTATATAAACGTATTTATGTCACTTTAATGAATACTATAAGGATCGACACTTCGTCAAACTAGAATCGCAATATATGTGGATTATCTAATTGATTATTACTTAACGATAAAAGTCAAGCGGCTAGTAATGTCGATGACAATTATCGACTTACATGAAATAAATTCAAATTATCGTCGATTACGATAATACAAAAGTCAATAATCTCTCGAGACAAAATAATTTCTTTTTGTAATCATTAAGCAAACAAATTATAATTAATTTACAGTATGTTCATTCTAAGAGTCGGGCCTTTCTTTGACTCGCTATTATACATTGTGCCATAAGCGTTTATTTGCCGGCTGAATTAATGGGAGCGTAGTTCACCCTATAAAATACTCGCATTAATATTCGAACGGCAAGCTCGTCAATTTGGTATTTGCAGTGAAAATTTAAAACGGCGCTACCACTCCTCGCCTTAAAATCAATAAGCCCCCGTCCCTCGCCACTATGATAAACCAAAATAAACGAATTATGTTGTTTGGTGAGAAAATGAGCCGAGATAGATAAATAGGCTTAAGCCGGCGGATAATCTAGTTGAATAATAGATATATTTTTTCTACAAGCACAGCGTGTAAAGCGTATCCGTTCACAGATACATCTATCCGACGATGGAAGAGCTGGCGGAGCAGTTGCTGTTCGTCGTGGGCCACTTCGGACTGAGATCGGTGATCGGGTTTGGAGTCGGGGCGGGCGCCAACATCCTCGCCCGATTCGCCTTGGCACATCCCGAGAAGGTCAATGCCCTCTGCCTCATCAATTGCGTGTCCACGCAGGCAGGATGGATCGAGTGGGGCTATCAGAAGCTCAATTGCCGACACCTGCGCTCCCAGGGCATGACCCAAGGCGTCCTCGATTACCTCATGTGGCACCACTTTGGAAGGGTGAGCCATTCGCTTTTGTTCCTCCCGCTTTTATCTCTAGCTGTGCACTTGGCGCCTAGTGGCTTAGCTGACTTATCAATGGAAAATTAGATAACGATACGAATGATATTGTCCCTTTTTGCTTACCACTCGGACGCAATCTATTGACGACATTTGAATCAATGTCGGGATAGCGTGGGCATTTGTTAAGCCCGTGAATAGCGGCTAAATTAAATGCAAGTGGAAATTCTTCGTCGAGCGAACTGCTGCATTTTGTACTTTTATAAGATTTCATTTGACCGAAATAAAAGATTATCGACTCGTGATGTACGTCGTTGCTCGCACATACGATAACAATAATAACTATGGCATTTACCCGAGCGGCAGACTGAGAATATCCGATATGAATGGACTGCGAATGAATAATCCTACTCCCTCAATTTTATAATCCATTTTCCAATAACATTATATAAATTAAATCGCTGATAAAAATAAACGAATCGAGGATATTATCCAAAATTAATTGATAATCGTTGCGTGTAACGAGCGGAATGCCATACGATGGTTTATCGTGAAAATTCTATGTGCGCGCGAGCGTGTGGCGAACATCGCGAGACGAACAGGCAGATGATTAGTAGAGTTTTCGACGCGCAAGATAATTTGCTCGACTGAGTTGCGAAACGCACGTGAAAGCTCATCGTTCAAGCTAGTTTACGGCACTTGTCCGAATTATCGACTTTTGCCAGCCGTGCGATTCCACGCGAGTTTCGGAAAATTGGATTAACGGATCACTGACAGTTCCACCAGGAATATATCCATTAGCTGTCATTTTTCCCCTGGCAACAATTGCCCGCGCGCAATCTATCCGCAATAGTAGCAGAAAATAAGAGAAAAGCAGATTTACTCGACGTGTAAATAGTTTTATTTTTACACACGATGTAAAAAGCTAACGCGGTAGTATTTGCAATTGTGATGAGGTTTATGTGGCATTAGAGGAATTTTAAATATAAAAGAGCTAAACAGTTGAAATTTTCATCTTAGCATGTGTCGCCTATAATATTTAAAATTATTGCGCCATATCTCAGGTATCAATCATTATACTTACATTATCCTTTTATATTCCTATTTTGTACAAAAGTATTGCACGTATTCATCATTTATCAAAAATTTTATAAATAATCTTGTAATATTACTTATCTACGACGTAATTGTTATTTATCATTAATAAAAAAACAATGTTAAAGGTGAATTATGTGTCAAAATTATTAAGTAAAGCTTATGTTCGATAGAAATAATACCTCGAGTAATATGTAAGTAATTTTTCAATGTTTTTTTTTTGCAATCACAAATTTTAATTAAACTTTAACCGTTGTAAACCGTTATAATATTGTTATTATATTATAGTTTGATGAATACAACTAGAATATCAATATTACTTATTACTATTATTTAAGTATTCAGCATTCATAACGTACATATAAAAATCACTGAGGCTGTTAAATCATTTGTTAAATGTCTATGTTTTAAAAATTAGCAAGAGAGTCCAGGTCAGTTGACTTAAAGCAATAGACGTCTTAACAATAGTAATGTTTTTCGAATTTCATTAACAAATCCCCAAATTTAGATGCTTGAACATTGTTATGAATATCTAATGATTTTATGTTATTCAATTGTGCTAATATTCCGCATGAATTCAAATGAGGCGATATCAGTAGTTAATTATTATAATTAATCTGTAAATTCACTACAAAATCAAACTTTTTTTTTTCTTTAAGCGAATAATAATAGTGCGCTCATTACAATGGAATAACAATTTTAACGTGCAGCACTGGGTACTCACTATTAGTTATACTTATTAAATATTATTGCACAATATCAGGGTTTTATTACTCCCCACGCATTGCCCTAAGCAATACATCAACTTAATTGATAAACTATACAAAAATGACGCTAGGATTCCACTTTGAGGGGAGTCTTTAGCACGCAGCCTTACGATCTAGAGCGCAACCGCGCGTCCCCGACAGAAAATTGATATACTCGAATTTCCAGGGCACCGAGGAGAGGAATCACGACCTGGTACAAGTCTACAAGAACTACTTCGAGCGTCGGGTGAATCCTACGAACCTCGCCCTCTTCATCGACAGCTACGTGCGCCGCACGGACCTTAATATCGCCCGTGAGCTCGACCCGACGCGCAAAAGGGACGGCTCGACCCTCGCCGTGCCTGTGATGAACATCACCGGATCATTGAGTCCTCACGTCGACGACACCGTCACACTCAACGGCCGACTCGACCCCACCAACAGCTCGTGGATGAAGGTGAGAGCGCCGATTGTCCTTTATCGCCGAAATTGGCTTCTACGCATCCTCATAACCTTCACTGTCATTTATCCAAAGTTACCGACTTCTTTGATATTTACGTTGAATTATTCGACTCTGCGCCATTTTAATCGTACCATTTAATAAAATAGTAGAAGGCTGTACTATTTAGTCAATTTAATTCGTCATTCTTATTGATGCAAAACTATTAAAGGCGCTTCTTTTTATATCAACGAATATTAATGAATCGATAGCTTTTAATGACAGTTTGACGTATCATTATTGTATGCATTATATGTATAGGGAATTATAGATTTTAAGGCAATCAATTTTAATCGCTTATTTCTACTTCAACCGCTATGGCTATCTATCGTAATATTTTTCAATTAGACCTATTTGCATTTTAAATATTTTTCTATCCTGCCATAGTACAACAATAATAATAAAAATACGGTACTGCATTATAATTAAATTGCTTTTGATTGATATGTATGAAAGCAATTAATTACTATTACCATTCGGATAATGGCTTTGTCATGCGTTTATGTCGAATGTCATCATTTTTATAAAAATGTTTCAAATACTTCAATGGTAATTTAAAAATTTTACATTAATTTTAACAATTGTATTATAATGTCATTAAAATTTGCTAAAACTATATCGATCCAAATATATCATTCAAGTAATAAATAAATTTATATATATATATATATATATATATATATATATATACATATACATATACACACATACATGCATATATATTTCAGATTTCGGATTGCGGAATGGTATTAGAAGAACAACCTGGAAAAGTAAGCGAAGCCTTTCGGCTGTTTCTTCAGGGTGAAGGATATGGTAAGTGAGCGGCCGAAGAATGATAAACGAAATATTAGAACAAACAAGTTGTCTAAGAATCGAAAATAAATCATCACGAATATCATTACGTAAATTCGAAAAATTCGAGTCAAAAATTGTAAAAAGAAATATATAGCATCCATGAATCAGCATGGAATCGCGAAATTGAATAGACATAACGGATTAGCGGAATGGAAAAAAAAGGAGAAATTAATAGGTGGAAAAACGATGAGAGGCGATAATAAGGAATAGGCGAAGAGCGCATTCCCAATGACCATCAATCTCTTTATTAAAACACTAAATAAAGGAAGAGAAAGTAATTTGAAGCTGTAAGCAATTGATGATGTGGTGGCAACAAATTGATAAACGAAAACAAAATTAATAAAAAAAAAAACAAAAAAAACAAACAAACAAATAGTAATAATAATAATAAAATAAGTTGTGGCATTGGAAATGTTGCGATGCTTTTCGGGAAACCTAATTATTTGAAAAATTGATCGACAAACACTTGAAAATACCAATTGGCATATATTTCTGTTCTATCGATCTCTCATTGGCCTACGGTCGTAGTTTGTAGATAAAACAAAGCAGCATGATGCGTATGAAATATTTATCAATGTTGAATTATAAAATGGTAAATGAAAGAGAAGCAAGCAAACCAAGGCATCATTATGCGCGTATTTAGTCTATTTTCGAAATTTTTCTCGTCTCTAAATATTAGTAAATATTACTTGGATTTCTTATAGATGTACGAAGCAATCTAAAAGCTCAAAAGCTCGAAACCTTGGCTTTGCTGATAACTTATTTCTATAACATCGCCATAAATTCAAAAGAATCTCTTTTCATTTTTACGTTTGTTTATATCTACTTTTCTATGAAACAAAACAAATAATAATAATAATAATAATAATAATAATAATAATAATAAACAAAAAAAAACGTACTGTAATGAGTTGATTTTTGAAAATAATTATCCTATATCCAAAATAATATTCGGGACAATTATTTGTTTTCCCAAATCTAAACGTCATCGTTTATTTACAATTGGAATTTAAGAAATTTTTCAAAAGTTGACTCGTTTTAAGCTATTCAACCATTAAAATTCATAAATGTATTTTAGCAAAGAAAAGAATAAATGTTTGTAAGACAATCAGGCAAACATCTTTTTGGCGCTTGAAAGTTACACACAAATACATATAAACATTAAAAGTATAACATTTTTAGATTGCACGTGCATTACAATACAGTAGTTTGAAAACTGAACTTAACGAATTACTCGGTAGGAATAATAATGAAAATGACTAATCTGTGCGTGAAATCGAGGCCGCAAAACGAAAGCAGATGACATATTTATAAAATTAATACGATCGGCATCGAAATAATCTATATTTGCTGTCTTAGACGGCATCGTTGTTCTGTTTGGCTTCTTGGTCACAGAAAACACACTCGCACTTGTCACTGTACACTATAATACGCTTCTATCACAGTAAACTGTACATCGACGCAAGTAGGAGAATTAAACAGTCAACCCGGTGAAAAACGTATCAGTGATCGATTAATTATTGCTATTTTTAATTCTTATATCAAACGTTTATTTTGCCTCTATTAAATGAGTATGCTCTTGTACTTATTTAATGAAATACTTATAATTTACTCTAAATGTGTAAGAGCCGAATTAAGTAAATAAGTTATGTTTTAGTGAACGAATAATTTTTTCAATTAATTAATCAATTATATTTACCGTTATTCTATTCCCGTAGGATATGGAGAATTGTTAATCCTCCCACTGCTACTGTTGTTTAAAAAATCATCTTATTGTTAGTGTAATTAACAATTTCATAATTTGTCATTATTGTCACTTTAATAGAAATGAGTTGAGACCTGCTTTGTATAAATGAAACAATAAATAATATCGTTGAATTTTAGTCTGATAAGGAATATTTTATTTATCAATTCGTACATTTATTCAATTGTTAATTTAATACGATAAAAGTATGAAAGTAATTTTAACAATTATCATGCTAAAATTCGACTCCTTATTTAAATACAAATTTTCGTTCAGTATTTACTCATTTAACTAATAATTATAAATAAACGAACGCTAAAAAAATATTTGACCAAAGTGTTCGTCTCCGAACTTCATCATTGCTGTACATTCTTTCTTCATTCATACGTCACATCATAATTTCAAATAATACACTTAGTAATAAATATAATAGTAAATAAAAAATTCTTGTTCACCGACTTGAGCCTTTATTTCCCACGCGTCTCGGATCGATCGAGTGGTATGTATAAAAATATTTTCTGAAATAAGTCTGTAGTGATTTAATTCCTTTCGGCTTCTTGGCTAGTTTACCTTAACGTGCGTTAAAAGCATAAATTTTCTTCTTTTTATTTTGTTTTTTTTTTTGTTTTTTTTTTGTTTGTTTTTTTATTGTTTTGTTTTGTTTTTCATTATTTATTCTTTCTCGAATATCGGACTGTACATAGAAGCAATGAGAGTAATGTACTTATAATTAGACTTATAAAGAATATTTTTTTTGAATAAATAAAAAGTTAAGAAGAAAGATGAAATCTTCTGTTATTTTAAAATCATGAACTATTGTTAATTGCTAATTTTCTGCAATGCGAATAATAATTTCAATAAGAAGATTTTTATAATCTGTAATATAAAGATAAAATATTCTCTGTAAAGTAAAGCGAATAAGTATGAAAAAAAAAATAATAATAATAATAATATGCGCGTTTAAAGTAATGAAGGATATTCATCTGTAGTAGTGATATCTTGAATTAATGATAAGGTAAAATATAAATTTTGCCGAACGAGTAGAATTTTTTATTCCACTGTAAAAGACCAACGAAGACTATATTTAACCTTATGATTAATTTATAAATAAAAAAATACCGTCTTCGAATGGAGCTTAAAATTCTCTAAATAAAACGAGTGTTTCTGTTTCTTCTGCGTTTTAGTGGTGAGATCCCCGGGGAAGCCCACGACGCCTACAACACCCGAAGGTAAATGTAATTAGGAATTGAGGCCGCAAAAGGAGTTGAACGCGCTGTGTCGGTCAATTAGGCCACGTCTAAACGTTAAGTAAGTCGGATTACAAAACTATTTTCGGGAAGTAAAAATATATGAGAGACTAATAATCGGACTCAGCCGAATAACCTTGTAACTAACCGAAATTCAAGACTACTAACCGTAATTTCTTGAACTAACGAATACAATAATATTCCAACTATTATACTATCTGCTAATTTCCTCTGTAAATACTTAAATGCCATTCCTATTTATTGTAGCATATAATTTTTCTTTTCTTTTCTTAAAGAAGTTCAGTTTATTTTAAATAGTAATTATTATTATATTTGTAAATAATAGTAAGATATCCTTTATTTCTGTGTATTCTTAACATACAAAACAAAAATACTAAAATTAATGTAAATACTTAAACTGCATTAAAAGAATTTACCTCCGCGTTAATAATGAAGCGTATCTGTAAATGACGGGGTACAATAACTTTCTCTATTTATGCCAATTCCAGTTCGTTTTTATAACGTCATCATGAATAGCGTATATACGTAATCGTTGGTGTAATATTGAATCAATGTTGTCTTCGAGCTTAATAATGTGGTCTCTTGTAACTGGTGTTTATGTATGTGTATTTATAATATGCCTTTTGTTAAAAACTGTATTGACTATTAACGAGAGAGAGAGAGAGAGAGAGAGAGAGAGTGTGCGAAGAATTTTTTTATACATTCTATTGAATTATTTGGTCAGTACGTATTTTAGCAATAGTGATATTAGCACTTCTTGCACGTGGTCTCTTGCAAAAACGAAAAAACGAAAGAAAAAAGAACAATAACCTTTAACCTTATTCTGTATAATTTGTATTAATTTTCATTTATTCTCCAATAGGTTATAACATATGAACATTTTGTGAAGCCGAAAACTTAAATATAAATTTTAGTTAGATATATAAATTAGAAGTTAATGTAAAAAATATTAAATTTTAGGTAATGAAAAAATAAAATATCTTTGACTATTTGTGTTCAACATTGTTTTTATTATTTTTGACATTAATTTATATACATATTAACATCCCTGACAAATGTAAAATTAAGGAACGAATTATAAGATTCAAATTGTATATACAGAAAAAGGTTAACTAATTGGATATTACAAATTTATTAAAATTTAATGTCAATCATCGATCAAGATGATCGACGTTACCGACAGAGTCTGCTAGATATTATTTATCATACAATATATCAAATTATACATTAGATCTCATAATTTATGCTCGGATATCAACAGATGGTAAATCGATGGCGTGAACGTATCGATGCGAATATGTACGTTAGAAATACAAGAACCCAAATTGTCCATCCACTTCCCTAGTATTTTGATTTGCATACGTAAGCCCAATTATTCCCCTTTATTTTTCTGTTATTGGAAATCGTTAAATTAAAGATATAAAATTTAAATTCATATGAATTTTACATGTAGAATGAAAAAAAATTATAAAAAAATAAAATAAATAAATAAATTTTCTTACATTTGTAGTAGCGGCTCTCAAACATTCGCGGTAGGATCGCATTAACATATATGCGCATAATATACGCAAGCACCCACCCATATATATATATATATATATATATATATATATATATATGGGTGGGTGCTTGCGTATATTATGCGCATATATGTTAATGCTGCGGGCGCGTGTACGTATCTATGTATGTGCATGCGTGTACGTACGTATATATGTATGTATACGAAATAACTTCAACAAAATTAATTTATTATGTAAAGGACGGTAAAGAAAAGTAAACGTACTAAAAGTTCAAAATAATTGCACCGGGTAGAGCGTAGAGTATATTCTGATACATTGCGTGACTTAACACACAATTGTCTTGCTATTTCTTGCACACAACAGACCACTAAACACACGCATTCTACTTCTTCTTTTACTTTGCATGCACGCTTGCATTTAACTTCGTTTCTCTTTTTTCGTGATGCTATACTATATTATAATATTGTTAATATGCTTTGCGATAAATCTAATGATAGCAGCGTTGATTTAGTGCGTCGTAATTAACGAAATGTTTGAAAAAATTTTGTTTGTATCTTAAGCAAAATTTTGCTTGCATCTAAATAGAATCGTGTTGTTTTTTTCTTTATTCTGCTAAGAATAAAAAGTAAAATAATGAAATGACTTTGGTAGAAACAAGTTAGTGATTCTCGTTAATAATAATTGTTAAATAATTCATGCTTAATTGAAAGAGATTTCAACAACATTAGGTACTGTAGCACAGCACATAAAAGTCCATATATCGTAGTTTTAATGAATCAAATGTGAAAATTTATCATTAATACCTTCGTTATATTGGACTTGAATTTTACAATTGACAATTAAATGACAAATTACTGGGTATTAGGAGAATTAAAAAGTGATAAACGGATTAACTGTAATGAATCCTTTGGCTTTTCGGATTAATATCCTCTGGTCTTTAAAACAACAATTTTTCTATGACTTACGATAGAATCTTATCTCATTACTTTTCCGATTTGGCACATCGGGGAAAAATAACCATTTTCGCATATAATTCAAAAGCAAGTATAATAAAAAATTAAATAAGATTTCCGAGACTGATTGTTCACAAACTTTTTTCTACCAGACAGGAGTTTGCGCGTAAAACCATAGCCGTTTTGCATTGAAGTTTTGGAAATACGGAGGACTCGTTCATTGTGTCGATGTGTAATTTTCGTTTGCAGTTGCGCCGCTCTCGCCGCTAAAGATGGCCGACTACAGGCTCGCTTCGCTCGAGGGTCTGAACCACATCTGCAGCAAGAAAATAGACTGGCCGACCGCGACCATACATATCACCGAGAATCCGTTGCCTGAAGCCGTTGTCTGCTAAGCGGATAGCATGCATCCTTTCTTTTTGTTTTTAAGAGATCGGGGAGTGGGATGGGATTGGGCGGAAGGGGAGGGGGAACGGGAGGCGAAGGATAAAGAAATGCTCATCTCTCTCACATTTGTGTATAAATGAACTGGAGCAAAAAAAAAAAAGCAAAAAACAAAAAAAAAAACAAAAAAACAAACAAACAAACAAACAAACAAAAAAAACTGGCGATACTGTTTCGATTATGTGAAATGTCCTTGAAGGGACTGTTAGTTCAATGCTCGTAAGCGTACAACAATGGAGAAAATGCATTCGTATCTGGACAAGCTTTTCCGCTCTTACCGACTCATATTTATGCTCGAATGTTAAACAAATTATTCGATCGTCACTTTGCGTATACTTTGTGAAAAGTTTCACGGTTTTAAAGTAATGCGCTTATGCATCATTTGTAAGGAGCATAATCGTCCTATGTGCGCAGGCTCTTTCACTATGGATTTTGGTTTGAATTGCATGAAATAAATAAAATAAATGATATAAATGATATAAATGAAATAAATATCCTTGATATCGATATGAAAAAAGGAATTTCAACGTATTATGTATAAGATACATTAATTTCTAAGTTTTTTTTTTTTTTTTTTTTTTTTTTTTTTTTTTTTTTTTTTTTTTTTTTTTTTTTTTGATTCGTAAATTTATAATTAGCCTATTGTAAGTGAAAGGATTTTATTGTATCGTTAGATTAAAATTATCGCTAATTACCTTTGTTAAGCATACTGAAATCCTGCTCGATTTTGGTTGCAGGTTGCTGGACCGATCGTTGCCTAGTTAAGAATAAGAGTATTGAAATTCGTATTTTCCACGAAAAATTAAAAATAATAAGACGAAAAATTATTCGAGCATTATTGATGGAGCGAGTAAGAGATAAGTTGAAAAATGAAAAAGAGCGACAACGAATGAATCGAACGTAGTGAGGAATGAACAAAGATCAATGTAGTTCTCTCATTACTGTATATGGGACATTTATACTATACTGCTTTCCATGTTCGTTAAAATACATAATCGAATCGCCTCCTTATAATAGCATCATTGTATCATCGGCGCTCAATCAGGCAAAAAATTATTACGAACTTGCAGACCTCCGACTACTGTTTGTGCAAAATTTGTGTTCCGTTTTGATAATATAGGGGAGTTATTATTATTACAGTCTGAAATTTGGATAAAGACAATTAAGATGCGTATAATTTTCATGAGCATTTATATTCTTATTCCTATTATTACAAATTTTTCTTATTTCTATGAAGAGAAAATGAAGGCTTTCATAACGCGCTAATGTTATTGGCGGAATGGGACGGTAGAAACTTTTAAGGAAAGCTTTAAGCTGCTATTTATAGTCCTTTTACTACCTACATGACTTATACAAGTGCTCATATATAATACGAAAATCTTAGGTGAAATTATTTTATTAAATGGACCTATATGATATTAACTCACACATTTGTGCTTTCAAAATGCATTAAACTTAAATGTAAGCCAAAAGTTTTTAATACAGTCGTGTTAGTGAGGCTACAGAGTTATACATTTACAAATTTTTCACAAACAAGAAAGGAAATAATACGGCTCGTATAGTATTTTACGCATATATCCTATTTATATATAAACACATAAAATATATTTGCAGTCCACGATTTTCCCGTGGCTATACGAAGGTCTCAAACTTGGAAAGCATGTCTATCCAATTAATCCCAATAAACGATGTTTGAAAGAAATATTATATAATTTTATTTAAAATTGCCATCTACGTCGAATTATTTTACAAAAATTTAACAATACGTCTGTTAAAGTCCAATGATATCTTTTATATCGACAAGAAATTAACAATTAGAGAATCTACTAAATATTCATATTTCACTGTCGTAGGTCAGTCGTGAGAATAAAATATTCTATATAATATTTTTATTTTTTATTACATTGCTTATACTCACGCTTACGCTATATAAATATATGAGTGGCATGGCATTCGTACGGACATTTTATGATTCATGCTCCTTTATTGGGATCGAACAGACGTGCGCGCGAGCTTGAAGACATTTTATAGTTTGAGTAGGGCGTTTTCTGTTCTTAAATAATCTGAGGCAATCCCCGGGATATTGCCGTATAATAGCAGTGTTAGTTCCTGGCTTTTCAAGGCTGAGGAGTCGTGGATGCTTCGAGCGAAGCGATAAAAATGCAGAAGTTATGCTGTGGAATTAATCAGTAGGAGCTTAATGCGAATGAAGAGCGAGAGAGAGAGAAAAGGAAAACATTAAACGTTGGCCTACAAATAGAGGGTAGAGGGATTTTTAATCCAAAAGCGCCTATAAACACGGAACAGTACAGTTTAGGCAAGTTTAAGGACAATGAGAATAATTCCTTTGGATGCCTGTGCTTTTATGTTGAGGCAATTGTTTAAATTTACAAATAAACTTATACGTACCAAGTCTTACAGGAATAATATGGGTAGCAAGGAAATGATGTTTATAACGTAAGTGCCGCGTATAGCAAAAAGCTGATGGTTTGTATCTGACTATAAAGAATTTATATTCGCTAATAAATTATTATAATACGTGTATGTACAAATATTAAGATATCGTAATCATTAAAGAGTTAGTTATTTATGTGTTTTTTTTTTTGGTTTTTTTTTTTTTTTTGGTTTTGTTCTTGTGGTCTGATTTAATATTAAATCGATATTAATTTGATTGTATGAAAGCAGCCAAACATACGATCAAGTGAGCTAAAAATGCCTAAATTTATTCAACGTTATAATATATAAAAAGAATAAAAATTTATATCTATTATCGATGATGTCTAATTACAGTTGTCTGAATGTATGAATATATCCAATATTCCATAAGTTCATCACACGATTATGTAAGATCCAAGTTTATATATAACCGAATGTAGACTTGTATAAATTCTTATTAGTCAGACTATTATTTGATATATTTTTATTAAGTATTAGGAATTGAAAAATGATTGTATATGTATAATATCGTTTATATTGAATTACTAACTTTCGCATATCATGCATATCAGGTTAAATTGGCGTTTTTATATATAGTTTTTACGAATCGTTTTTAATAATGTTTAGCAATTTTTGCTCATTCTAAAATAGGCGTATAATAAAGTATACATATAGGGGCGAGAGTGAGAGAGAGAGAGAGAGAGAGAGAGATAGAGAGAGAAAGAGAGAGAGAGAGAGTTAGAGAAGGGAGAGAGCGGTAGGACGGAGATGGAGGAAAAAACTTCAATAGTTTGGGTTTAATTTCAAAAATACTACGAGAAACGTCGAGTAAGTCAGGTAATTAGAAGTAAAGTATGCGTAAAATAAAACGAGTAAACTAAAAACAAAAAAAAAGAAGAAGAAATGGAAGCAAAAGAGAAATGGGCTGAAATCATAAAGGGTCTTTGAATATAATATTGAATATACTTTGAATATACTTTATCGACGATACGATTCCATACAAACCCTCTCATTTTGTCTATATTGAATATACTTTGAATATTCTTTATCGACGATACGATTCCATACAAACCCTCTCATTTTGTCTTCTAACATAATTGTTTGTTAACAGATGAGAAACAGCTACAACTCGGAAATGCATGTAACAATGGATTTAGTTAGCCAATATTCGGATTAAAAATATTTAAATACACGGGAAAAAAATGGGAAGAAAATTGAGCAAAAAACAATATAAAGAATTACCGAGCCCGACTGGTTAGCATCTTCTTATAAATATAGAGCGTAATGTGATTTTCACCACATGCGTATCCCAAGCCTCTAGCAAGTGATATGAAAATTAATATAAAAAAAAAAAAAACGTGCCTGCTACACGAAATAGAAAGAGATAAATATGTGCGTATAGCTTAGAAGAGTCATTGTCGAGAATAAAAGTACTAGCAATTTACTACTATCGCCTTTACTTTTCTATTACGGTGTTATCACATTCCCAATACCATGAGCATAACAACTACACGACATGAAAAATTTTATGATAAATTACGTTCCTTTTGAAAAAGATCAGAAATATTGTAATCGTTATACTCTTTATACACGTGTAATTATCATCATTGTTATTGTTGTCTTATTTATTTACGATATCTGGAATAACGACTAAAGACTGTAGTTTTTCATTTACTTCGTTGAACTAGATTAACATTTTCTTCATTAATTATTAAAACTTAATATTATACGTATATAAATAATTTTTATTTATAAGATATTTAAATATAATTATATTCGGACGTTGAAATAGAGAGAAAACAAAAGCTGAAAATCATAAAATTATAAAATAATTAGAGCGTTTGCAATAAGGTCATAGTTTAAGTATAAAAAGAGAATAAGAACAAACTATAAATATAAATAAGGATATATTTATAATCGGAGGGGATGAAGGTTGACAAGATTAAAATTGAAAAGTTGTTGTGTAATAAATGCAATTAAAACCGTGTAAGATCTAACAACTTATTTATATTTGTTTTCCAACAAAATGCCGTACTTTGATTAAATTAAAAAGTTCTACGTCCTGAATAAATTATTAAACGTAGTATAGAAAACTTATAAATTTTCTATATGTTCAAGGAATCCAGGTGTATAAATGAATTAAGCAGTCGTTCGTCATATTCAATAGGTCCAAACTAACCGTTACAACAATCTCGTGTAATACACAATTATTTTTCAAGTATTAGCCATGTAACATTTGATGGATAGATTTTACTAAGTGTACACCTGGATATTAAATGGAATTTAATAGAGACAACTACATAGGAGAATATCGAAACACGTACACGAAAAACATGGAACAAAATCATGCTCTGTTGTTGCGAAATATATTGTATGAAGAAGAACGAGGAAACAAATAAGGACATTGGTAGTTAGCATCGTAAATAAATTGGAAATGTCTGTGTAAATAAAATAGAGCCATCAAAATTTTCACTACATTCTTTCATGTATCAATGGAATATTTATAAAAATTTATGTTTATCGCCAGTTTCATATGATTTTTACAATAAGTTTTATTAAGCGTAACTTTAAAT